CATTAGGCCTCCCAAACAATATAAGTATTCTAAAATTAGTCCCTGATTTCAACCTTTAGAGAAAAAAAGGTTGAAAGTTGAAGGAATATTTTCCCCAGTTCCTACTAGTGTAAACTGGCGGACTAGCTTGGATTGCTTATATCGTTAGGGGGCCCAATTGCAATCTCAATGATTTGGGTACCAATAACAAAATATTGAAGATGTGAGGGGTTTTGTCAAAATAACCCTTATTATTGTTTATAATTATTGAGCGCAGTCGCCTGAGTTTGGGGTGGCGGGGGGGGGGGGTGGGGCGCTGCATTTGTACGCGATGGCTTACTGCTCAGGTTTTCACGAGCAAAATCAATCGCTTGTCCCTTTTGGCAATTGTTCTGAATCAACCTCACGGCCTGCGTTTGCGTTTTAGCTTGTGGCTCATAATCAAGAAGCAGCCATTGAGCTTGGAAAACGTGAGGTGAGCACTTTGCTCGCCCTGTTGCTTTCACATGCTCATTTTCGCATACACAGTAATTTTCTTTGTGGGTTCTTGTTCTTACGCTGAAAAAAAAATGCTAGTTTTGAGAATTGGGTCCTTCCCAAAATTTCAAAAATTTCAGCATATACTGCGAAAGGTGTGATTTTGGGAATTGGGTTCTTATAAAAAGTATATGTGAGGGCTCATTGAAGCGAATGTGCTGTTATTTCGAGCATTTTGGATTTTGCATAAGGTTGTTATTTTTAATGAAAGTGGATATTTGATATGGGTTCGCTTTTACCGCCCAAAGGTGTGATTTTCAGAATGGGGTTCTCATAAAAGATTCATCTTGGGGTTTCTAGAAGGAGAATTATCTTCCCTTTTTTTACCCCCATTACAGCCTAACATGTCAATTTGACATTGGATATTAAAAAAAAGTTATATTTTTCTTATTGGGATTAGCCCAACTTTGATATGCACCCTAAGAAATCTCTTGTGAGTTGACACCTTAATTCTTCCCTGTTTACTGTTGAGCCTGAAAAATAGAGAGTTGTGGTTCACCTAAATGTTTTGTCTTTTCATTATTAAATTTTTTATATGATCAGTTTCTGTGGGTCCCAATGTCAGCTTTCCCGTTTGGTTCACCTTAATTCTTCCCCGTTTGGTTGTATGTTTTTACCATGTAAAATGATGGAAAGTGTAAAAAAAGTGGGTCCCAATGTCAGCTTTCATCACTTTCAATTGTTTGTTTGTAGTTGTGAAAAAAAAGTGGGTCCCAATGTCAGCTTTCATCACTTTCAATTGTTTGTTTGTAGTTGTGAAAATAGTGTAAAATGATTTCATATGCTGATGTGGCTTGTAAAGTGATTTCATAAAAAAAAGACATGATTTTAGGAGAAAGCTGACATTGAAGTTTGGAAAAAATAATTCCAACCAATATGATTATTTGAGTAGGGATCACTTTTTACACTTTTCAAACAAACAATTAAAGTTTTATTTTGCAAACCAAACAAGTGTTTTATGATTCCAATGGAATCAAAAACAAACAAAGAAAAGTATAAAAGTAAAATTGATGAGGTGGACAACAACTTTCCAAGTTGTGTCATAAATACACAACTTTACCAACAACAACCAAACAGCCCTTGGCGTACATCCTCTCATCACATGTGGGTTTGCTTCATTTGATTAATTTGATTCCCTCAACTTATCACAAATTGACATTTGTCTTGTACCCCCAAGAAAGAGAGAGACATGTTCACGGCTCCCCCATCTCTTTGATCCCCTGTTGTCCCTTCACTTCACCGGCTTCCGATTTTTTCCTTGATAAAGGCAATGGTGGAGCCTTTGAGCATGTGGGCAGTTTGTACGCTTTGAGACTGTGAGGAGATGGCTTTGAGGTCCTCACATGTGTATATCCGCTATTAAAAGCAACCCATGTTTGTTTTCTGTGGTGAGAGTTACTCTTGTCTCTTTGTTTAATAAAATATTAGGGAGAAAGGACTGCCTGCAGAAAATGCCTTCCTTCTCCGTGTGCTCTTATGTTTATTGAAGGCATTCTGTTTGCAGTGGACTCATTTTTGCTGATTTTTTTAAGGTAAATTGATGCTTGCTTCTTTTTTCTTTTCTTTTTCGGTTGGTATTATTTTCCTTTACTTGATCACTTGTGGGTGTAATGTTGTCCATTGATTGATATGCTTAAGTACTTTCTATATAGTTTTTGGTCTTAGCTGTTGGATGCTTGCTCCTTTTTTTCGTACTTCATTGTTAGTTCATTTTCCTTGCTGTTATTATGCAGATTTGTGCTAGATATAGTGAAGATAAGGGTTTAAGTAAATATAATGGATCCTGAATTCGGAAGTGCAAAATATCCAAAGGTACGTTCCACTGAGAAGTGTGCTTTCTGCAGTTTTGTTTCGAGTATATTGAAATATTTAGGGGTTAAGAAGTGTTTATTCTTTTGCTTCATCATTTGCATTGAAAATTTCTATAACTATAAAAACCTTTTAGTCATGATGTTAGTTGAAATGCTTTTTAAATTTGACTGAAGTCAGATGACGTGACTTGATTTTATGAAAACGTGATTTGATTTTTTTGAAGATTCAAAGCGGAAAAAATATTCATTAGATTTCTACAGTTTAATTCTTTTTCTTTTTTTCCCCTCAAAATTTTCAAGAAATAAGATATTTGAATTTTGCTTGGTTCAAAGTGAATTTGATGAGGAACATACTAAAAGAGATTTACTTAGCTATATGAACTGTAAATTCCCTGAAAAGAACATGGATACTGTAAATTTGAACTGTAAGAACATAGTTTCTTCGATGAAAATTTCTTAGTTTAGGACAAGTTCATTTGAGGATATTATAAATCTTGATACAGTTAGGATTCTAAATATTTGATTAATTTTAGAGAAGGATGAATATTCTCTTCAGAGCAAAAAGATATCTTTTAGTTATTTTTCAATTTTTTTGCAAACCTAAGCAAGTAGTTTATTTCCTAAATTTAGGATTGCATCTCTGAAGCCTTGTATGTTGTTTTTTTACCATTAAGAGGCTAGACATCTCCTTTAGCAAGAATGGATTGATGAATCTATGAATGAAAGAAGAAAGTTATTGATGATTGTTGGACGTGAAATCTTAATTTTGAGATTTGAACCAATGAAAGAACTTGTAGCCTTTAGATCTACCCTATCTTCTTTTTGTGGCAATATTGACAAATGAACTCTAAATTAAATCCTATTTTCACGGTATTGTCATGCCACTAGTGACCTTGCAAATTAAACCATACTCTTTCATACTTATATAATTATTGGTGCAATAGCTTAAGTTCTATTTCTGAAATCTTGGTAACTAACTGTTTTCAGAAGGATTCATGGAGGACTATCCTGCTTTTAGCCTATGAGAGCCTCGGTGTGGTGTATGGTGACTTGAGCATTTCCCCTTTATATGTTTACAAAAGTACTTTCGCAGAAGATATCACTCACTCAGAGACAAACGAAGAGATATTCGGTGTACTTTCATTTGTGTTCTGGAGTCTTACACTTATTCCCCTATTCAAGTATGTTTTCATAGTTCTGAGGGCTGATGATAATGGCCAAGGTAACTATGGCAGCCTATACGAAAGTACCATTTGTGACCAATTTGCGAGCTCAAAGTCGGATTGGCATTATCTGACTTAACCCTATATTTGAAACCATTAAGCTCTTATAGTTACTATTTCCGGTCTATTAAGTTCTTATGGTGTTTTTCCGCCTTAGACAGCCAAAATCACTTATTTGTTGAGTGTAAATTAGGAGTACTTCTGGCGGAGAACCATCATGGGGACTCAATAGATTATTTCCATAGAATGGAAATAATGACTATAATGGCTTAATGAATTAAAATATTAGGTTAAGGGCTTCTTAGAAATGTCAGGTAAATGTTAAGGGCTGATCTGACTTTGAACTCCCAATTAGCTTGTAGAATTTAACTCTTAACGATACTGCAGGTGGTACTTTTGCACTGTACTCTTTGATCTGTAGGCATGCAAATGTCAGCCTTCTGCCTAATAAGCAGGTCTCTGATGAAGAACTTTCGACATATAAGGTAGAAAATTCTCTAGAGACGAAGGATAAGTCATGGATCAAAAATATGCTTGAGAAGCACAAGAACCTGCACACCGCTTTGCTGCTTGTGGTCATGTTAGGTACTTGTATGGTGGTTGGAGATGGTGTGCTGACTCCAGCTATATCTGGTATTGTTTTTTTCATCCCATATTTACTCGCAGTAGATTTTTTTAAAGGTCTGCTAATGTTTCACTCTTTTTTTTCTCTCTCCTGTTTTTTCCAGTTTTCTCTGCGGTTTCAGGACTTGAACTGTCCATGTCAAAAGAGTACCATGAATGTATGATTTCTATTCTACTCATTATTTGTGTTCTGTTATGTATATCAAACTGTATGACTGTGTTAGGTTGTTATTCATATGAAAGGACATCATAAGGAACTGATATGTAAATCAACTAGTTTTGTCAGAAGGGCAAACCTTTTACCCATTTTATGTAGGTTTGGGATGAATAAGGGTTTACACATATGTCTAAGGTACAGCTTAACACATGACCATATTAGACATGGTAATTTTGGGATGGAAAGAGGTCTGCATATCCCTAGATTAATTGATCTCTAAAAACCTAATTTATATGCTGGTGAAATGATTCAAAACAATTCCTTCTATTGTTTGTAAATGTATTTTACATGGCAGTACCAAAATAAGGATAGCTGCGTTTTAGCTAAAGAAACCTGCCTCGAGCAGATATCAACTACCTACTTGTTATTCTACCATGACTTATGCCTGAACCGAACAAGTGTGCTCTAATATCATACTTTAAAGCACTAATTTGCACTCACACATAATAATCATATTATTCACCTGAAGATAAAGGACTGATACTAAACTACCGATAATTGGTTGGCTTCAAAAGTCTGAACCCTTTTGGGAATTATTGTTGGAAAAGTACTAAATAGTGCATCTATTAATCAATCCATTTTCTTGAAAATCATACAACGCAGTAATTAATTCCTTGAAATCTTGATGTATGCACAATGCTGCACATTTGCATAACCATTCAATTAGAAAATACTGGTTAGTGTATAAATGCCAATTACTCAGAGCACCCTTTTATGGATAGTTTGTGTAACGTGCTTATTAAGTAAACTGACGATTACTAGTCTTTTTGTCAGTTGCTTTGCTTATTATGTATCTGACAAACATTTTTTTTCCTGCATCTGTAGATGCGGATGTTCCAATCCCTTGTTTCTTAATACTTTGCTTATTTGCGCTTCGATTATTATGCATCTGACAAACATTTTTTTTCACTTCTGTAGATGCGGTTGTTCCAATCACTTGTTTCTTAATACTTTGCTTATTTGCGCTTCAACATTATGGCACTCATCGGGTGGGGTTCTTGTTTGCTCCAATCATCATTTTGTGGTTGTTTTGCATGGCGACACTTGGCATATACAATATTCTACACTGGAACCCACATGTTTATCAAGCACTTTCCCCGTATTACATGATCAAATTCTTGAAGAAAACAAAGAAAGGTGGTTGGATGTCCTTGGGAGGAATCCTGTTATGCATGACAGGTAATTTCGTGGATACATGAAGTAGAAACTATCAATTTTTTGTTTAAAGTATTTTTTTTCTAAATTTCTTATAGGGAACAAAATATATAATATGTTACAAGGTCATAACATAATAGTAAGATTGACTGTCACACAAAAATGAACTCAGAACATATTACTGGAGCGTTAAGAGTAAAATATTTGCCTCCAGCAGTACAACTACAAAATCTTTGCCTTCATCAGTACAACTTCATAAGGGGTAGCAAATAATTTACTGGGGGATGAAATCTATGATGCATTACATAATAGTAAGACTATTTGTTTTTCTTCTTTGAAATAAGAAAAGTCCATTATTGTTATCCAAAATTTATGAATGACATTTTAGCTGATAGTAAGTGGGTTTACTATGTAATATGCAGGTTCAGAGGCCATGTTTGCAGACCTTGGCCACTTCTCACACAGTGCAATTCAAGTGCGCATTCTTTACTATTCATGCTTAACTAATTAATTTTCATCTGTGAGCCCCTAAATGATACTCTTCGTTTCTTTTTATAGATTGCTTTCACAGCGTTAGTTTATCCTGCGCTGGTTTTAGGCTACATGGGTCAAGCTGCTTATCTTTCACAACATCACAGAATCTCGACTATTTACCAGATTGGCTTTTATGCCACAGTTCCAGGTAACACGCACATCTTCACTTGTTTAGGCCCTTACATAGTTACATTGATGAAATCATTTCCAGAAGAACCACCTGAATTCTGGGGATTTTGCACAGAACCCCATGAACTTTGTAAATTATACCAAAAACACCCCTGAACTATGGGGAAATTCCGCAAACAGAAGTAAAGGATTGAACAATAAGTCATTACTTTTTTTGCCTTCTATTCCGCCATATGAAGAAACTAGGAAACTACAAAAAATTAAGTCATGTTCTAATGAATATTTTTTCACTTCTGTAGATGCGATTGTTCCGAGCACTTGTTTCAATGAAAGCGAGTTTTTTAAGGATAATTTTGGGTTTTAAGTGAAGAATTTGACCGGGAGGTGGTTGATTGTAATAAAAAACAACTTTAAATGTGGTTTATGTATAAATTGAAAATGAAAGGCGGTTTCTCTATGATTACCCTATTTTAAAGATGGTTTATAGTGNAAACAAGAGTATAAGATGGTATCTGAGTGATTGAGGTCCAAATTCCACTGGAGCGAATTTAAAAAAATATCCTTTATATATTAAGTTCACGAATCTTAAAATATTTTTCTCTTTACTGCATATAGTATATTTTGTTTTACTGAGAGCGACAGTTCTGGTTCAGTATCTGAAACTTTTGTTAATGTGTAGAGAGTATAAGATGGCCTGTGCTTATTGTTGCCATACTAGCTGCTGTTGTTGGAAGCCAAACTATCATCAGCGGGACTTTTTCGATCATAAACCAGAGTCAATCTCTCGGTTGCTTCCCAAGGGTCAAGGTTGTCCACACATCGGATAAGATACACGGGCAGATTTATATCCCAGAGATCAACTGGATGCTCATGATTCTGTGCTTAGCAGTTGCTATTGGGTTCAGAGATACCAAAAGTATGGGTAATGCATCAGGTAAATATACATTCCAACCTGCTAACTGCTGTATTTTCCCCCCGCTCACTGCGACTTCTAAGGATCTTGATTAAGTAAGAAAATATGGGAACACAAGTTTAAGCTCACTAAATCACACAGTGACTGCTGAATAACTCCTTGGTTTAATTCTACGCATGTCTAAACTATCATCCTCTATGACTCTATCGTTAATTTTGTGATATTGATATGCATATCACAAGGTTATGTTTACATCCATTAGACATCTTGAATATCTCTGGGAAGTTAAATTCATTGATTTTAAAGAATCTGTAGCTTAATACTAAATAAAATATAGTATTATACCTTCGCCTCTTGATAAAACTATCTTCTCTTGATCGTCTAAATATCAAAATTAACCTGTTACATGTTTAATTTGATATCACCTCTTGATAAAAGATCTTAACATATTCCTCTTTTAGCATGTAATTTTCACTACATCTTCTATAGTTTTCTAACATGTTTGGCTTCCCCCTTGTATCCTTCTGCAGGTTTGGCAGTGATATCAGTGATGCTGGTCACCACATGCCTCACTTCCCTGGTAATAGTCCTCTGCTGGAACAAACCCCCTTTCCTCGCCCTTGCCTTCCTCCTCTTCTTTGGCTCCATCGAGTCCCTCTACCTGTCCGCCTCCCTCATTAAATTCCGTGAAGGAGCGTGGGTCTCCATCCTCCTCGCCTTCCTCCTCATGACTGTTATGTTCCTATGGCACTACACCACCATCCAAAAATACCTCTTTGATCTCCAGAACAAAGTCTCCTTGGACTGGCTCCTCGCCCTCAGTGAAAGCCTGGGCATTGCTCGTGTCCCCGGTATCGGTCTTGTGTACACCGATCTCATCTCTGGCGTCCCTGCAAACTTCTCTCATTTCATCACCAACCTCCCCGCATTCCATCGGGTCCTTGTCTTTGTCTGCGTCAAGTACATCCCTGTGCCTTTCGTGCCTGCTGCTGAGCGATATCTGGTAGGCCGTGTTGGCCCGCCGGACCACCGGTCCTATCGCTGCATTGTCCGTTATGGGTATCGTGATGTACATCAGGATATTGATTCATTTGAGTCTGAGCTTGTTGCTAGTCTGGCAGACTTCATAAGGCTTGAGGCATCGTACCCGATGGAAAATGATATTGGCGATGGTAACAGTGGGTTGACTGTTGTTGGAAGGACTTCGCCATTTTCGACCCATGCGTGTAATGAGATAGAGGAAGCGTCGAGCGAGGGGCCCATAGGGAGGACGAAGAAAGTGAGGTTTTTGGTAGAGGAGGATAGGAGCACGTGGATGATGGATGGGAGGGTGAGGGAGGAGCTACGGGAGCTTGAAGATGCGTGCGAGTCTGGTACAGCGTTCATACTGGGGCATTCCCACGTGCGAACAAAGCCTGGGTCGTCGATCATCAAGAAGCTAGCCGTCGAGGTTGGATACAATTTTCTTAAGAGAAATTGTCGAGGTCCGGATGTTGCGCTTCGAGTGCCTCCGGCGTCACTTCTTGAGGTCGGAATGGTGTACGTCTTGTAGCATATAAGGCTGGATGCTGAAGGTCTTATGTATATTTGTAGCTTGATAGGTATCAGAGGAAACGAGGCCGCGTTCTTGTTAATCTCTTCTGTGCTCATCTCAAAATAGTAGTACTTTCTGGATGAGATTTATACTTTATTTCTAATTGAATGTCTCTCCTCAAAGATAGAACAAGATTAGCAATTGTATCTTAAAATACGATTGCATATAACAATAGTTGCATGTAACTGTAGTTGCTTGCAATTGATTCTTGCATGGTAACTGCAATTCTAAACGAACCAAATGGCACCCTATATTGAGAAGGAGAGGAGGGGAGAAAAAAAGAAGGAAAAAAAAAAAGGGAAAATTGCTTCCAGCCCCCAAAACAACCCAAAACATGCTCTGCCCCCCCAAGACCTTTTCAACGTTCCTTTTACCCCCAAAACCGCCCCCGATTTTCTTCCAGCCCCCAAAACCAATCCCCAGGCGTAACGCCGTTTAAACCCCGCTCGAAATGCCCAAAATACCCTCACGTTTAAAATTCCCCGTTATGAGTTACCTCCTCGTCCGTACCCTGTCATCTCTCTCTTCTGCAAGCAAACCGACTCCAGAAACCCAATTCAAAACCCTAGCCCTAAATCAACCGACCCCAACTCAAACCGAATCAAAGCAAAGGGATCAAAATGGCCGGCGATTCAACCCCCAAAGCCAACCTCAATGCCGACCACAGCGAAAGCGATTACGCCCAGCGGTTCGAAATCTCAGAAAGAGCCCATACAACTGCAGTGCGGGCTGAATCTGAAGCTCGGGCTGCGATTGGTGATGTTCTAGAGGACATCGCACCCAGCCATTCTCATCCCAGAAGCCCGCCTCAAAATTTAAGTGTAGGCCCACGCGAAGGTCTAGAGGGCAGCACCGGCACCACCGGCGCGTCCAACGATGCCACTAGAGCGCTCCTTGGTCTACAGAGAGGAGAAGAAGAGAAGCACGTGGCAGCACCCAAAAGGTAATTTTTACCGCAAGTTTTATGTTGTTAAGGTTACGGTTTGATTGATAATGCTCTTAGTCTGGTGGGAAGGTCCAAAATTACGGTGTCTGTTAGCTGTTGAGGTTACTGTTAACATGCAAGGTCTATGCTTTTATTGCTGAGGTTGTTGTTTATTTGTAGAGGTTAGGCTTTGGTTGTTAAGGTTAGGTTTTGGTTGATAAGGTTGTGGGGTTGTTGTTAAGGTTGTTGGTTACTGCCTTTATTGTTAAGGTTGTTGTTTAGTTGTTGAGGTTAGGCTTTGGTTGTTAAGGTTAGGTTTTTGTTGTTAAGGTTATGTGGTTGCTGTTAAGGTTGTTGGTTTACCCGCAAAGTTTACAGCATAGCTGTTATGTTTACTGATTATACTCAAAAATGCTCTCGTCTTGTGTTTTTGTTTTGTAGAAAAAGGGCAAAGCCAGCTATTACGTTGCGGCCCACCGCCAGCTTCGGTGCCTATCACGACTTCATGCAGAATTTGGTGACGCGTATGGGGCCAAGGCATTTTGCGGCCTACGAAGATAGTGTATTCAGACACTACGTCCAATTTGGCCCACCTGGCGTCGATCTTCCCACCTTTGAGCACATTTTGAGTCAGTGGGACAAGAAGAGCAAAAAATTCGTCTTCACCGATAGGAATGATGGAGAAGAGATCCCATGCTCATTCAACCTTGAGTGGGTAATGGAGCATACATGGTTCTCCAATGAGGGGCTTCATGTTGACCACAATCGGGACAGGAAAAATAGGATTTGGTCCAGGTTCTTTGACAAACCCGAGACGGGGGGTTCCAGCAGTATAGCTCCCCCCAAAGGAGGCCCCACCAGACGCAATGTGGAGGACCTGCTCTTGAAGCTGGTACTATCTTCTGATCGCCGAGATGTGAAGGACTTTGTCCTGCTACAGATCCTCTATCAGCTGAGCATGATTTGGTGTCCAAGCAGTGTTTCCGGCGTTCCTAGGCATTTATTCAAGTACGTCGACAGCATCGAACAGGTCAACAACACTGCTTGGGGGACCTATATATTCAGTGAGACATCTGACGCGATAGAGAGGGCACTGAAGGGTCCTGAGCCAGGGAAGACGACATTATATCTGCAAGGGTGTACCCCTCTAGTTTGTGTAAGTAATCATGTTTTTTACTGATTGTGAAGGTTAGGGTTTAGTTGTTAATGTTACAGTTTCGTTGTCAAGGTTACGGTTTGGTTGTTAATATTACGGTTTGGTTGTTAAGGTTACGTTTTTATTGTTAGGGTTACTTTATTAATTGTTACGGATGAAGGTGTTTGTTAAGTTTTTATATCTCTAATGTGCAGTTGTGGTATTATGAACTCACCGGCATCAAGAAGCCAGCACTTGGTTGTACGGTGAGGCCTCCCCTGACAAATTGGGTGAGACTTGGGCACGTTGCTGGTTCTTTGAGATTGGCCACTGTTGTTGCGAAAGCAAGCAAAGCTACGATAAAGCTTCCACAGCAACATGGACAACTTCAAAGAATCGAGGGAGGTTTTTGGGGGAAGGAGCAGGGGATAGAGAAAGAGAAGAGGAGAGAGAGAGAGAAGAGGAGGATTAAGGGTCCGGCTGCAGTAGACGCCGGCAGGGCTCGTGGCCCAATAGACCTTCTTCACAAGAAGAAGAGGAGAGAAGAAGATGACGACATCCCAATTGATGCACTTGTAAGAACTTAGCAATCGTGGATTTTATTTGTTTTTGAATTAATTAATCCTTTTAATAGTACTCTACCTGTCCGTTGCATATGTGATGCCACAGGATATTGATGAAGACGCCGAGCAGCCAAATGATGCAGTTGAGCAAATGGATTGGCCTCAGCAAGTTATCTACTGGAAGAGCATCGCGGCAATGAACGAATCATTACGCCGCGAGAACGAGAATAAATTCAAGGGTATGATTGCTGCAGACCGTGTAAAGATAAGTGCTCTTTCTGTGAAGGTGGCTAAGCTGTCTGCTCAAAATAGAAGACTGAGAGAGGAACTAAGCGAAGCACGATCCGGAACCCTCTCTGTATACAAGGATAAGAGCCCTACAGGATTGGTGTCCAGCCCATTGATGGAGCCGCAAACTTGTACAGGTTAGATGTGGCTTGCAATTACGTTTGCGTGTTATAGTTAAAAATTGATTGATAAGTATATGGATTTATTGTTAAGGTTAAGAATGTATTGTTAACTTTACTGATCTAATGTTAAGGTTAGGGATTTATTGTTAAGGTTAAGAATGTATTGTTAACTTTACGTATCTAATGTTAAGGTCAGGGATTTATTGCCAAGGTTGGAGATTGATTGTTAAGTATCTTGGTTAGTTTTAAGGTTATGTAACTGATGCTATGTTTTTTTTGACAATGAAGTACCTAAGCTCATTTGTGTTTATTTTTTGAATCAGACACTCCAGGCACCGTGGGTGGCATTGATGTACAGTACGATGGGGATGTCAATAAATCATTATTATTTGATGAAGCTAATAAGGAGAGCGAGGCCCCTCCAACAGGGAGGGCCTCTCCACAACCATTGTTTTCTGATATCCACAAGGAGAGTGAAGATGCTCCGCCAGGAGAATTACCTCCACCAGAGGCATCTGCTGTTGACAAGGCCCTTGAGGCAGAAATAAACGAGGGAGAGAAGGTGTCCCCGCCAGCGAAGGAGCTACTAACTTGTACAGGTTAGCTTGCTTTTGTACTATATGTTAGAGATTGGTTGTTATGTCTACGTATTGGTTGTTAAGCTTTTTATTGTTTATACTCTGAATATTATCAGAAACAGGCACTCAACGCGAGGGCACTGGAAGGGAAATAACGCCGGCGGTTGAAGTCCCTTCTGCAGGTGATGGGGAGACGCAAACTTGTATAGGTTAGCAACTTTTTCACCATGTGTTTAGGCATCAGTTGTTAGGTTTACTATGAAATTGTTAAGTTTAGATAGAAGGGGCTATGTTTTCTTAATATTTATACTTCGAATGGGTTGTTTGGAATCAGACACTCTGCGGGAGGACACTAGGATGGAAATAAAGCAATCAGAGAATGCCCCTCCACCAGCAGAAGAGACATCAACTGATGACGAAGATGCTCCTATTGTGTTTTCAAAGGTTTTGAATAAGAGAAAGAGGGGTGCAACGGGGGCACGCGGGAAGATGGCCGCTGCTGCACCCCCTAAACGGAAGAGATGCAAAAGATCGGTGAAGCCTTCCAAGTGGGTAGTCACCCCTTACACTGAAGGGAAGAAGAAGAAAGAAAAAGACAACATAGGGGACAAGGCTATAATAGAAGTGGGTGGGGAGGAGGAAGCGCAGGTGCAGGAAAACAATGCAGAGTTGGCTCCTGCTCGGCTACAAAGTGACCCCCACTCTATCTGGGAAAAACACATGAGTTCCCCTATGAGTTCAGAAGAAGAAATGTACAGAGATAAGCTGAACGAGGGGATTCCCTTTCCAGATGGCTTCATCATCAAGTTTTTGGGCGACAAGGACACATTTGTACATAACTATAAGGTGTCAGCAGACGTTGCCGCGCTACTGACGGAAGAGGAGCAAAAAGCTCTTAACCATTTTTGCATTTGTAGATGTAACAAGTAAGTATTTACCTCACATCTCAAGTATTTACGTTTGTTGTTTAGTTTGCGGGTTTGTTGTTATGGTTACGGGTTTTTTTGTTATGGTTATTGATTTGTTGTTTAGGTTAAGGGTTTTTTTGTTATAGTTATTGATTTGTTGTGCAGGTTATGTGGTAGTTGTTAAGGATACGTATTTGATGTTAAGGTTACGTGTTTGTTGTTATGGTTACGGGTTTTTTGTTATGGTTATTGATTTGTTGTTTAGGTTAAGGGTTTTTCGTTATAGTTTTTGATTTGTTCTTGCTGCTAATTGTTAGTTGCTAACTATTATTTTTGTTTTTTTCCCTGTTTGCAGTTTTATTAAAGTGTACGAGGGATCAGCAGGGTCTATTACCCGGCTTGAGATCCTCAATATATTACGCGGTGGGCGACTGGATGATTCAGTAAGATTTTCGATTGGTATTTATTCATTAGCATATTTAACAATACTATTATTAATTACTTGTTGCCAACTTATGATAGCTTGTTGATACGCTGCTTGATTTAGTTCGTGAAAATCAGAGAGCATCGTCCAGTATAAAATTCGGCGTAGTCCCTGTTTGGTTTAGTGTAAGTTTATGTCTGGCGTGGCGTACTCCTAACTATCAGCACATAATCTATGTTAAA